GGATATACAATATCAAGTGCATGAAAGCAGCCACACATGTCACGGGATGCTGCAAGTTCTGTCGCACTACCCATCCGTGCGGTTCTGGAAGCCCAAGAATGACCCAGTGGATTCTTGGATCGGATCACTGGATTAGTGCAAATGCTACTTGCGATGGCCTCCAACCCAAGAGCAAACTACTATATTCTATAGAACGAATAACATTGACTGCAGTGGATTGAGGGATTTCTTGGTCCAAACCAATCACGTTTCCAGTGATTTCCAATATAGAATATATAGTTGCACATCAGTTCCACGGGAGGTCGCCTGTACACTGAACATGTAGCCTGAGGCATGTTGCCTGAGCCTGACCTACCAAAAACTCCCCAAGTTCCAGCGCATGTTTCTGCTTCACATCACCTCTTGATGAGTCAAAAATGTACCAAAACTACAGCCTTTGAAATCTACCTCCGACCGACGTGGTGTGGATGGTATATACACTTAGTACACCAATTATACAAGCATAGACCCCAAACAGCTTCAAAACGATTCGTTTAAACCAATATTAGTCAATAATCGATTTCTTGGTACGCTCTACCTTCTCCCCAAGAGCAAACTACTTCATCAATGAATTTTTGTCGGCATTGACATCGCTATTTGTTCGGCCACACTCCTCTCCAGGAAACCGGGCCACAAAAGACCAGCCACAGAGTTCAGGGGCGCAGCCAAGACAAGGACAAGGAGGACAAGAGGAGGACAAGACCCGGACACAGAGCCGGGCCACAGAGCCCAGCCACAGAGTTCAGGGGCGCGGCCAAGACAAGGACAAAAGGAGGACAAGAAGAGGACAAGGCCCAGCCACAGAGGACAAGAGGAGGACAAGGCCTGGACACAGAGCCCAGCCACAGAGTTCAGGGGCGCGGCCAGTGAGTGTGGCCAGCTCTTTTTTTCTAAGATAGAACTCCAACAGTAAACTGTTTGGGGAAAAAAATCCTTTCACATGCGATGCAGTAATAAGTTTCCAAAGGTCAACTGCCCTGATGTTGGATGTCCACATATGTCCACAATTCCCAAAGTCAATGAATCCACAGTCACAGCTGTCCTCGATTGCTTTCTTGTCATCCTGGCGAGCAGAAATCAAAAACACCTATATAAAAATATTCTGAATGCAATGAATGAACTGAAGTGGCAAGTGGCTAGAAGAATTTGTTGTCAAAGTGAAGAGCTCGGAAGCTGTGAGGATAGCTGAAAAAGTTGCATTCAATCCTGGCTTTGGAGAGGGACCAATGTTCCTCCCAGGCAAAAGACCAAGTCAGAGCGGAATGGACAAAGAGCCAGCACTCTCGTGCTCCATCTTTTCAGAAGAGTTTGCAGCACTGCAAATCAATAAATAGAACTAAGTAGCACTTTACCAACGAAAGAAAACCATTCCAATAAGCTGTGCCCCACAAGCGCCTCGGGCTCATCATCCTGGCCCCAAGGGTTGGTTTGTGTGTGTGTTGAACATCTTGCCACACAGCACTTTTCATATAATGACTGATGTACAGTATTTCATAGTTCTTTGGCACAAAATAAAGGTCTGGTCCTATGATATGGTGCCTTGTGAAATCATAAGGAGCGCTGCTCATTGCAAAAACGAGATTGCTCCGTTCTCTCGGATGCGAGGTTTCTCTGTTCTCCCCAAGATTCTCAGTCATTACTGAGTCATTACTGTAATCATCCCCATTCTCCGTCGTCCCAACCTTGGCAACGATCTTTTGGTACAAGGATTTCAACGAGCCACTGTTGATGCGCCATGCGACCTCGTCATCTGCCATAGTGTGGTCTGTGATATGCAGCGAGCAAAACACTGAAAACTCCTACCAAAAATCTCAAGACCTTCCCAGTTGAAAGCACATCAAAATGCGGGTCATGCTGAAGCTGAAAGCCAAACCAATGACTTACTGAAGCCGCTTGAGTGTCCTCCGTTCGCAGTGTATGACTCTCACGAGAAGTGGGACATGAATGAATATAAATGTTCCCTGTGCGAATTCGACCTTTCACATGGACATCTTTATCTTTAGGGATCCCACTCTGTGCCGAACTGCTGCTCTCTAAAGAAGCAGCATCCATCAGAGAAAAGCCTAAAAAATGAGTTTAAAAGTACCAGCACTAAAGAATCAGACCTGCTCAACCTCAAAAAAATAAGACCATCATCAACCTAAAGAATCTGACACTCTGTGTTAGAGTCGAACTGTTATGAACTGTCATGAACTGTCATCACCTTCAGTGGTCAGTCCAATGGGCTTCACTAAAGAATCAAACACTGATACCTCGAGATTTCAAAGTGCAAACCCCCAGGTTCCAGTTGAAGCAAAAAAGGGTGGTTGTACCAATGGTTTGTGTTCTTTATGACAACCCCGGTTGGTCAGTTGTTTAGGCTAAATTCGAAGGAGGATTATAAATGGTGTAATTGTACTGCACAGTTTTTAGATCGATAACATGTTCTTGCTTTCAGCATCACCCGCAGTGGTAAATCTACATGGATTGTCCATCGTGCACAGCTGGCCTGCTTGGCACGCAAGTCCAAATCTTCCTGGGTGGAAGAGTAGTTCCTCAGCCAAATCAAGAACTCCCTGAGCATGGCAATGGATTGGATGATCCTTCTCAATCTTTCATCTGGCACGTAACACCTGCAATAAATGTGTTACGCAAAGATTGGTTGGGCTTTCCAAAAAAACATCATGGCTCCAGCAATTTGTTACATTAGAATTCCATTACCCTCCAACATCCCTCTCGCAGACCCCAAGTCGCCATAAGACCTTCTTTTCCCAATCCACCTGATTCCGAACCCCACCAATGCCGCTGCCATCCGCCCAGAATGAGCCAATGCTGAAAGTGCTCAGAAGCCAAGCCACTGTGGAGAGAAGACCACGGCAATCTCTTGGAAAACAGCCTCAGCCAGTAGGGCGGGAGCGTTCGTGAGGCACCTTGCGGTTTTAGAGGATACGTTCATCAACTTTTTTGATATATTAAGCATGTGGCCCTGCCTCCTTAATTAAGTAGGCGCCTATACTATACTTACTTAAGGGAGTAGCACCACTTCTGGCTACTGAAGCTACAGACTGGACGCAGGAAGCCCGCTCACGGTTCTTCAAGGAAGCTTCCCCTGCCACCCTAAAGGCGGTTGAGGGGAGAAGCTTCCTTGAAGAAGCGCTTTCGCACGAATCATTTGGTTCCGTTCGTAGCGATGCCCTTGCTCCGTTCGTAGTAAGGCCAGGAGCCCCGTTCGTAGCGTCCGATTGCTCCGTTCGTAGCGATGCCAGGAGCCCGTAGCAGCAAGGCATATATTACAAGCAACTCAAAACCGTAACTTGTCACTCAGGGTGCTGATATGGAATTAGCGGCACTGGCGTTTTACGACTGCAATTCGAACGACGTACACTCATTGGAAGGATCCATCTGAGCCATTAGACCAAACATGCATGCATAGTCATGCGCGACCCTTTTGATGTACCTTTGATGATTTGCCTGACACTTCCACTTGTCACTGCAAGCAAGTAGCCTTGATTGCCTTAATGTAGATCCTTGGTTCAGAAAATTACAATGATTCAAAGGTGGACACACTCAGCACCACTCAAGGCAAAGACACGCTTGCGCACCTGTTGAAGAGGCGACAGCATGTTTGTCAATTAGGTGGTAGAAAGGTCTGACTGATATCTGAGTCCTGGGACTCCTGGGACTGGGACCCGTTGCCATCAAGACTTCTTGTTGCAGGAGCCCCTAGTAGCGTCCTTGCTCCCTAGTAGTATGGCCAGGAGGCCCTAGTAGCGTTCTTGTTGTTGTTCAAACACACATGCAGTCCCAGCCCTTAGAGCCCCAATCTGCTGAACCCGCAAAGACCCTGGAGTTAAAGGCCCAACTTGGAGTCGCCAGCCGCCACTTTTATATGTGTGTGTGTGCGTCCGTGGCCGAATCCAACAGCTACCAACTACTTTGATAGGTGGGTGCCTGGCTCTGGCAGGCTGGCTAATTCGGCCGAGGACCAGGAGTGCAGGGTTACCATACGGGTTAATATAGTGTTTCTATAATATACAGTATATATATATTTTCTATATAGATATAATATATAATATATACTTATAATTATATATATATATATATGTGTGTCTACGTAACATAACTAACTGAAATCGGGGCATTCACAAAAAGACACCTGAAAATCAGCAGAACTTTCTTATTTACAGCAACCAACACTGTCGGCATTGTCTTTTCTTTCCAATCATGTGTCGCTTGGATCTGGCTTTTAAGCTTTCTGAGATAATCGGCATCAGGATAAGTCTCAACCAAAGATCCTTCCCGAAACGTTCTCGGTTGACACGCGTTAAGTAACAGACTCAGACTACACCAAAAAATTGGGTTTCAAAGTACCAGCAAAACTACATTGATCGGCCTCAACAAGGGACGTGCCTGAAGAGTTGCTCTATGTTCGCCGTAAACTGTTACATCTGTTAGATCTGCCGAACAAGTGCGAGCTTCTTCAAATCCAACATCTCCAGCTGCGGCATGGAGCTGATCTCCTTGCCACATCCGGAATTGAACCTATGTCCCGTTCTCTTGAGATTTGCATGGCAAAGGTGGCACAGATTTGACCACGCAAAATCATTGCAGCCAGCATATTACAGCTATTTACCATGAACTCAGCCGCTCCGTGCCCTCACATGGAGCTTTGCCTGATATGACACACGAGGTTGCCATGGCTGTCAAAGAATTTGACATCCATATCTGGGCCCCAGTCAATGTGTGTGGCTACAGCATCATCGACCTGCTTTGCCCTCCAAAAAACACGAAACTCCAAACAGTTTTGCAAATAAATACCCTGCAGATCCCTGCATAATCTGAGTAAAAGTGTTCAAGTCCAAACACGAATATGCCGGAAGGGCACCTCCAAAATCAAATGCACTATACCTGGCCAAGGCTTTAAACTACGGGTGCAAGCCCACCAGTTCGGCTACTGGAGTGATTTACGTGCTTGAGCCACCTCAATCTGCATTGAGTCTACGCTCCAACATCCTTTCGACCTTCCGCTCCTCATAGTAGGAAGGCGATGGGAAGCGGAAGCCATCCTCTGCGATGATGGGTAGCACGCAACAATCGGGCAACTTTGCCACTTGCATCAGCCAGTCCTCAATGCGGCCGGACGCTTTGCTGCCCGTTGCGTGGAAGAGTATACATCTTGTCGACTGCTTGTAGCCCCAACAAGGAATGAACAGGTCAATCAACAATGTGCCTCAACAATGTGCCTGGCCATTTTTCTGGCCACATTATAGACGGCAATTGTGCCCCTTTCAGAACAATGATTCATTCACCGAGCTGCTCCAAATTGGAATTGCTTGAAGCACCCCTCGCTGCAAATCACCAAAGCGGAGCACGCGCTGTTCGGCACAGATCGGTCCTTGCCAGTGGCCCTTTATTGACCTTTCTGGAACTTTATGAATGGCCTCCAACCCAATAGCGATGGCCTCCAACCTAAGAGCGATGGCCTCCAACCTATGGCCCTTTATGGACGAAAGCCTGCATTGAAAATGCATGTAAATGCACTGATTCGTCATCTCCCAACATGTTCAATTGACAGTGAGATGCTACAGTAGGTAGCTCTAACATAGCAAAGCCGCCATAGTAATCCCAAGCAAATTGCAATACGGTGATCAAATGTACTCTGAGCTTGTTCAAATCCAGTTCTGAGCTTCTCACCTACTCACACACGTGGACAGAACTCATCAAGTTGACAGGTCGGAAACTTCGGAGAGGTCAGTGTTTTCGGACCGGCCTTCTGCAGCACTGCAGGCATGTTGTTCTTCTGGCCACCCACCAACTTGGGAACAATCAAGCCCAACAAGACATAGGCGGTGGCTGCAGCCTTAAAGACCCAAGGAACCATGTGGAACAAATGCAAAAGGCCAGTACCGGGAAGCGTGCCAGGTCCCAGATCTTGTGTCATGCCGTCATGCCCTACTGAAAGTCTTCTGATTTTGGGTGAGTGCAATGAGTCGTCAAAAGGATCCAGGACTCATCAAAGCCACAAGAGTGCGATTTCAGGATTCATCAAAACAACACAATTTGCAGAATGCACTGGACCTGCTGTACCTGTTCCTTTTCTGAAATTGCAGGCTAGTTTGGGTCACAGTTGTATTCGGAAACTAAACGGTTGTATTCGGAAACTGGGACGATTGAATTCGGAAACTAAACGGTTGTATTCAGACACTAAAGGGTTATACTCGGAAAGACTGGGACGGTGGTATTCGGAAACTGGACGGTTGTATTCGGAAGCTGGAAGGTTATATTCAGAAACTGCAGAAAACTACATTATATGTGGAAACTGGTATTCGGAAGACTATTCGGAAGCTGGACAGTTGTATACGGAAACTAAACAATTGTATGCGGAAACTGGAGAACACATCAACCTTCCACGCAACTACCCGCCTACCAATAAGTTTGTTGCCCCCTGCCCCGACCCCACCCCACCCTTTCATCCTAGACAACACATCAACTCTCCACGCAAGTAAACGCCATTAAAGTTTTTTATTTTACACAGTTTCTGAATACAAGGAAATAGTTTCTGAATATAAGGAAATAGTTTCTAAACACGACGAAATAGTTTCTGAATACGACGAAAATAGTTTCTGAATACAACAACAATATAGTTTCCAAATACAAGGAAATAGTTTCTGAATATTAGGAAACAGTTTCTGAATACAACGAAATAGTTTCTGAATACAACAACAATATAGATTCTGAAAACAAGGAAATAGTTTCTGAATATAAGGAAAAAGTTTCTGAACACGACGAAATAGTTTCTGAATACACCAACAATATAGTGAAATAGTTTCTGAATACAAGGAAATAGTTTCTGAGTACGACGAAAATAGTTTCTGAATAAAACAACAATAGAGTTTCTGAATACAAGGAAATAGTTTCTGAATATAAGGAAACAGTTTCTGAACACGACGAAATAGTTTCTGATACAAGGAAATAGTTTCTGAATACGACGAAAATAGTTTCTGAATACAACACCAATATATATAGTTTCTGAATACAAGGAAATAGTTCTGAATACGACGAAACAGTTTCTGAATACGATGAAAATAGTTTCTGAATACAACAACACTATAGTTTCTGAATACAGGGAAATAGGTTCTGAATACGACGAAATAGTTTCTCAATACGACGAAAATAGTTTCTGAATACAACAACAATAGTTTCTGAATACAAGGAACTAGTTTCTGAATATAAGCAAATAGGTTCTGAATACGACAAGCATAGTTTCTGAATAAAACGAAATAATTTCCAAAAACACGTTTCTGAATACAGTGTACAAAGCAGTTTCGGAATACGACTTTGTTCGCTAGGTTGACATGACTTACATAACTCATTGACAATCGAGAGGTTGATTCCTCGCCGGTAGCTTAAGCAATGCGCGCACTTCAGTGAAATGTCTGGTCTTTCTTGGTGCCTCCTGCGTGACAATTTAGCAAACTCCTTTGTGCAACAAGAATCTGGGAGGCACGTGCTCTGCATGTAGACAAATAACATCAAAGCTATTGGATGATGATCATTTCCCAGGCTAAACCAAGTCAACATGAATCAAGGAAATGGGTAAAGAGGTTGCTCCAAGAATTCTATGATTCAATGAGGGCAATCTAGTTTCATGCTACTCATGAAGCTCTATGCAGCGCTTGAAACCTTGTTCTCAATAATTAATTGCTTTCTCCATCTTTCTCCTCTAAAGACTGCCCACCTCCATGTTGTCAAGATCCGACACAATGATGCAATCTGGTGACCTAAGATCCGCTATTATAGTGAATCTTCATCTGCTGAGTCAGTCATGCAAACAGGGACGCATCCTGGCTGGTGTAGGTGAACACTTCGTTCCACTAGGGAAGCAATCGCAGTTGCAATATGTTGGGCTCAATGGAAGCCCAGCGGCTCACGAGTATCTGCAATTGAGCGAGTTCGTTGCGTTCCCGTCAAGTTGCCGCAAATATGCTCGATGGATTCCTTGGCAGTCGCCAGGATCCACTTTGAAGGTTGGAAGGTGATGCAGCGGCTGATGCATATCTTCTCTTAAGACTGTGCTTCAAAGGGGTATCGAAGGAAAAAACGACATGACATGGAAGGCCCGTGCTCCAGCGGCCAACTGTAGCCTCCGTCAAGTCTGTTGGCAAGTTAGACGATAAGAAACACCCATGGACCATGGGAGGGACTTCTATTCTCCTATAAAAGCTTATGGTATCCTATACTCAAACATATTCAATCTTAGCTGGTCATTCAAGTCACGCCATACAAGAACGAAGCACGTCACGAACTCTCCAAGGTTTTCCCTATTTGCTTACCTGCCCTTCCACTCTCAGAATCAACAGCTTGCGATCCTGAAGAACCTCCTTCCGAGCTACGCCACAAACCAGCGATGGGACATTGATTGTATCCACTGTGTTGATCCAGGCCATCGTGTCTTGCACCTTCCCATTCAATCTAATCATCAGGAGTTCGACGAATCAAAACAAAATAGATCGAAATAGGAGGGCGCAAAGCCATGTTTGCAATTTCCCAAGGGTGTTTAGGATCAATTGAACCATAATTGGAAGTCCAAAATCCAGAGAACTACAACACATACTTGGTGTGGCTAGTAGATACAGCTCTCATGATGTCAGCCTGCCAGCCTGCCTACAAGCGATTGGTCAGCGCTCGTCATGCAAGACTGAGTCACGCTGGCACCATGCCAGACATGCGAGCTGACATCAGAGAACGGACAACAAAGGTTTTCAAAAACCTGTGACCAGATTCTCCGGTTTGTCAATTGGAACCGATGGTGTTGGACAACCTGTGCCGATAGAGTAACACAGTTACTACATGGTCCCTCCACACAACACGATAGTTTTGCCTCTCGGCACTCAGATTCCAGCTGGGGATCAAAAAACCTTTGGGGTGTTGCTGCAGTGTTGTTTCAGCTGTTTCCATCAAAGTGTGCTTTGGGAGCCGGTTTCGACCATGCCAAGGGCTCCCTAAATGTAGCTATAAATATGCTATAATCTCAGCACTCCCCAGGCAACTTCGGCTCCGGTGCCTCTTGAAGGCCGATGTTATAGTTTGCCAGCTCTGTGATATCGGGCACAATGCTATCATAATTCTCAATGAAGTTCTTGTCAGGCTTCCTCCGTTCCCCCACGCTCAGAGTCAACAAATTCAACCTACCTCATCCCTTTTCAGCCACTTCCCTTCTACTTGATGTAGTGTGCTGGGTTAGAGCCGGATTCGGAAACTACAGTAATCGGTCGGATTCTGAAACTAGGGTTCTGAAACTGGGGTTCTGAAACTTGGATTCTGAAACTGGTATTCTGAGACTGGGGTTCTGAAACTAGGATTCTGAAACTGGGGTTCCGAAACTAGGATTCTGAAACTGGGATTCTGAAACTTGTATTCTGAAACTGGAAAGTCAGATTCTGCAACTGGTATTCTAGAATCTGAAACTGGAAAATCACATTCTGCAACTGACATTCTGAAACTGGTATTCTGCAACTGGTGATCTCCACATCATGCGATAGCGTGTGCCTGTGACTTCATTTTCGAAGCGCACCCAAAGCAACGTCATTAGCCCCCCACCCAACCCCCCCACCCCCCCAACCCCCTTGTCCCCATCGTGTGATCTTGACATCACGCCAACCCCTTATCATTCACAAAAGTTGCGGAGTCCTAGTGAGGGAATGCACAATTTTGCGGAATCCTAGTTGCGGAATGCCAGTTGCGGAATCCCAGTTGCAGAATCCTAGTTGCGGAATCCTGACAGTTGCGGAATCTTAGTTTCGGAATTCTAGTTGCGGAATCCTAGTTGCGGAATCCTGCGCAGTTGCGGAACTCGACTTTATCCTAATGTGCTGCAGCAAATTGGCACACTCAAAACCAAGTCGCACGAAATCCGGCCAGGCGAGGAGAACCTTGGCTAAGCGCAAGAGTGCACAGTATAGTAGACAAAATTTAACATCTCCGTCCATCATGGGACATGGAAATGGTTGTATAGGCTTGTCATGGCTTGTCCGGTGTTAGTTCAGACTGCTGTGGCCGCAGAAACAGAATTCTTGATCTGAATGCTGTAGTGCCATTGTTGCGGGCTCAAATGCAAGGGCGTGCTGCAGCGCATCAAAGGTCACTGGAAAGACTTAGAATGCGTATTCTATGTCTTCCTGCCCATTTAGCTTTAACTTGCTTTGGCCGAAACAGTGAATAGCAGTGCATGGGCAGGTGAGCATCTACTGCGAAGCCATTCCCGCACTCACGAAGGAGCCAGTTGCCATTCATTGTTGCTAGGTTGTCCTGGGTTGCTGGGTACAGGATGGTACAGGACATGTGACTTTGACAGAAGCACTTTGCTTTCCACACCCAGCAGCAGTCTTTACCTTGTGGCTGCGGGCGGTGCACATCTCCCCGACACACCACTTCCTGCGAGGGCCGACAAGGCCAGAATAGGTGTTGTCATTCCTGTTGAGGACAACCTTTTCAGACCAACCATAGCTATGGGCTATGATTCTATTAGGAACAAGAACCCGGGCATCGCTACTAGTAGCAAGGACGGTAGTAGCGGAGCAGTGTCCCAACTTCCAACATTGGGTCCTCTAATCCCATCGGGAATGAGAAACGCTGTGATTGCCCACGCACGGCGTTCAAGTAGGATCAAAGACGGATCTGGGGGGAGTGTGAGAATAGCGCACTACGGGCACTTGGAATATACCGGGACTGCATGATGGAAAAACGCCAACAAATACTCTGACCTGAGAGTGCACAAGGACAAGTGTCCATGGGTCCTCGTCAAGATATCTGGAGATCCCATGATCACGAAGGTTTCTGTATCTTGGCCGACGTAGCTGAACAGCCTGGTCAAGCAGTACAAAATAGATGGAGCGATGGCAGTTCATGGGTTGTTCATGATTCATCGTGAATTGCGCTGACACTGAGAGAATCATTGTACCAACGAATCACATCAACTAACCTCTCGCAAATAAAGATAACAACAAACCACCACCAGCATGAAATAAACAGCTAGAATTATTGGTCGATCAATCCTACAGGTCGACGACCGACTGACCCAAAGCGCCGAGAGCAAACCTGGTGAGATCGTTCAAGTCATCACAATCGACCTTAGGAGGGAACACAATGCATGCACAGGCAGTCAACCTTAGTCAAACCATGTCACCTAATATCCCTTGATGTGCATCTAAAGCGAAGTCTGGCCAACTGATTTAGAGGAATACAGTATAACCTGGATCATCACTTTCAGTATGAGTGAATCTAATCTAGCATCTCGCCAGCAAGCGTCCCGAGTTCCGAAAAAGATTCTCTCAAAAGCATCAGTGATGTTAGCATCTTGCAGGTGTTGCAAGTCAGGAATCTTCACGGCTCAATGGCCAGCTTCTGTGTCAACCAGGCCAGCCAGGTCTGGGCCCAACTTATCAACCTTGAACTGTTCAATGCAAAAAAAAACATATCTTCACAGCCAAGGGACGAAGGTGGTAAACTTGGAGTTCCTCTTCTGCAGCTCCATTTTCAGCAAACGAGCCATGGATCCAGCTGCAATCTTCTGGTGACACAAGAAGTACCTGCGACAAAAGGATGGCACCGGTGGCACACTAGCCCACCTCCGCTATTAAATCAGAAAATTGTGCATAGCATAGCAGTTTTGGGGTTGCAAAATGACAGCATAGGGTGTTGGCCCAAGTATGGAACTGAAGCTTACTAGACCAACTTGCGTGTCCATTGCCTGTTGCCGGTGTGTTGTGTGCCAGAAAGGTTTGGCTGTCCTTCTTCATGCCCACTACCATTGTTTCAAAACACCAGTTGAAGAACGACAAGATCAAAAGGACATACTGGCAAGTTACTGTAAATGGAATTAGACAGA